CTAAATTGTGGACTAAAGTAAGACAAATAAATAAGTCATTTACATAAAGGCCTTGGACTATTCAATTTTTTCTCTGCGTTATTATCCTGAATAGGTTGAGTGAGTCAGACCGGCAGCCACGCAGTTACGAAGGAAGTCATACATGTAATTATGTAATAAATCAGCTTTTAGGAATCTGTCTGCCTTACCTGTCGGAGCTCTTTGGCTTCGCGTTCCTCCTGGTGCTCCCAGCGATGGGCAGAGCTGCAACCTGCAGCCCGTGCTGCTGGGGCTCCAGGACCAGCGCGGCTCCATCATCCACCAGCAGGTCCGGATTTGCACACCTGGCTCCAGTTCCCATCTGGCAAAGTACTGGTGGGACTCCTTTGGGGTTCTTCCTCCTTCATCTGTTGCTACAGAAGATTCCCTCTCCTGGCTCTGAGCCCGGCCTCGGGCTGCACGCTCTGCGTATTCATGCCTGCGTTCCTCTGCCACCTCCCACACTGGGATCAGGGACGACGTGTTCTCAGGTTCACTCTTTTTCAAGTTGAACGTTTTAATGGACGGCGTTGGGCCTTTTAGCATCATTCAGGAATAGCAAACTCCAAATTAGCATGCCAGTTTTGTCATCGTGCTGTGCAGCATGGCCTACTGAAAGCTCAGAGCCGAGTACAGTTTCATTTCCTGAAGGGTTCAAACAGAGCTTCATGTTTTTCCCCTAATCCTGGGCTTGTGGGGTAGTCAGCAAACCATTGGGCAGACCCCGTGCTATGATGAAATGCCTCGGAACACAACGCACTCCCGTAGTTCACATTTATCCTTTCAGGAGTTATTCATCTGGAGCTCTCTCTATAAATTTCTTTCAAGACAGATTTGTAAATAACTATGAATCACAAATATAAATGACTGACATATAAAACGGGACATAGTCACTTCCACAGAGAAGCAATTCTCTACCTGCTTAGCAGGGAACTAAAATGCATTCAGTTTATCTGAATTAGTATACTGCTCCTTAGGTAAAGCTGAGTTATTTCAAGCAGCAGAGCGAGGACCTCCACTGAAAGTTATTCCAAGCAGCAGAGACAGGCTTGGGAGAAGCCCATAACTGTTAATAGAGGGAGGGGTTTTTGGCTTTCTTCTTTGCCAGCTTAGTTCCAGCTTTTGAAAATGCATGGTCAGAGGTTTCAGCGGTGCAGACCCCACCTGTGCAGAGGTTCCCACGCTGCCTGGTTCATCTGCAGTCTGAAAGGGTCGTAAGGTTCACTCCTCCATCTCCAGCAGCAAAGTACAAGATATATTTGGGTTTCTTGACATTGCAATGTCTCTTTTTCTGTCTTGGCAACCAATGCCATCTTCCAGTTAGTAACAGTAGAAGCAATTCCAGCTTCATCAGTAGGCTGAAACAAGAAAAACATATTAAAATACGGATCAAAGAGAAGTAAATCCGTTCATAAATAACACGCACAAAAATTCTCTAAGGTTCATATTTGCATATATCTGCTTGAATTATACAGCAAATAAAAAAGAATTTTTGTCATATCCCATTGGCTTCCATGAGTAACAGAGACCGTTCCTTCCAGTGCTGCTCATGGCCAACATGGCAATCCATGCCACCTCTCCAGGCACAAATGGGTTGCCCTTTTTTCTCCTATTTACATGAGATAAAGGGTAATCCCAGCAACACCTCGGGCACACGTTACTTCAGGGCTTCAGGGGCTTCCATTCTGGGGAGACGTGGGCAGCCCTGGGGAGTGCATGGACACAGGCAAGGCAGGCTGTGCAGCACTGGGTGGGCCCTGTGCCACGTGGGAAGAGGAGGGGACCCCAAGCAGTCCGAGTGCTTACCTTCTGCATTTGGCCTGAAGGGCTACGACCAAAGAATGAAAGCTAGAGAGAAAAATAAAAACAAAAATAAAAACTGAAAAGGGGAGGGAAAAGAGGAAAAAATGGAAGAGAAGAAAGAGAGTAAGATTTTACAGTGTGTTTAGCTGAGAATAAGCCATGGTTACAGACAGTGCAACAAATCTTTGTGTTGGGAAGCAGTACTGACTGCGGGGTGACCCCCAGAGCCAGCTCTGCTCAGCTCAGGCAGTTGCCTGCATCCCTCGGGGCGCGGAGAACTGCAGCCCAGCTGCAGCCTGGGGCAGGCAGGCAGGGAGATCAGCAGCTGAGGTCTTCTGATGCTTCAAAAGGATGCACTGCTAAGGTTGGAGCTTGATTTTGGGCAAGAGTTCAGCTCAACAACTGTTGTGCCTGTGGTAGGGGGAGACTTAGACTGGATATAAGGAAGAAGTGTGTTACAGTGGGGACAATGAGGCACTGCATGGGCTGCCCAGAGAGCTGGGGGTGGTCCCTGCAGACAGCCCAGGTTGGGGGATGGGCTGTGAGCCCCGATGGAGCTGTGGGTGTCCCTGTGCATTGCAGGGGGCTGGACTACATGGTCCTTACAACTCAAATGATTCTAAAATTCTGTGATTCTACAGTTCTATGATTCTACAAGTTCCCTCTTGGCAATTGCTCTAGGAATAGATGTTTCACGTGAGGGTCATTTTAGGGCAGAATTTCAGTTATGGTTTGGCCAAAATTGAAGTTGTAGGAGGAGAAGTGGTGCCAGGCACATGGGAGCTGCTTCTGTGTGAGATTCAGGTGGGAGCTTTGGGCACAGGGAGAGAACTGCGAGAAGGTAATTTATGCACAACATCAGTTTTTGTAAGATTATTTTCTTAGCAAAGATGGAATGAAGACACGGACATACACACATCACGTATCAGCTGCTTCATCTGCATTCCCTTACCTTTTCCTCTAACTCTTTTATTTGTCTTTTTTGGCCTTCAATTCTTTCTTCTAGCTCTTTAATTCTCTGTTCAATTTAAAATTTAAGAAAAATATGTATTAACCAACCAAACACAAACGTACCCAGAAGACGTATTATTTTCAGGGACATGACTTGCATATATCTCTTCTGAAAAACAAATGTGTGTTTTAAGCTGTAGGTGAGTCCTCTGTTAGTGCAGCATCACGCACCACGCGTGACAAACCCATGAAAGCCAGAATGCCATTTCGAGGGATGCTCTGAGGCAAACCAAACCCGGCTCCAACACCAGGGACCCCCGGTGCAGCCCTGCAGGGGTGGCATGGATCTCACCGCGCCCCTGCCCTGAGTGCTGCCTGCCCACTGCAGCACATACCTGCTGGGCATGCTGGACGAGCTCCATGCGCTCGCGCAGGATTTGGGCATCCCTCTCCCGCAGCTCGCTCATCACCTGGCGCTTCCACTGCTCTACCGCGCTCTTCAGTTTCTCTTTCTCCTCTTCTGAAAGAAGTTCGGAAATTTTGGCTCCAGCTTCTTGCTGCAGGGCATCATAGAGCATGGCTTCTAATTCCAGAATTTGCTAATCAAAAATAATATATACGGCTGTCAGCTCAACGTGGTCATGGGTCGAGGGAGGGTTTTGTGGGGAACTGCTCATCCTTCCTCTGTAAGACAAGGGGAGGGCTGAGGGTGGTGTGCTACGTCCTGCACAGGGCAGCACAGAGCTCAGTCACAGGGCAGGGCGCTGGGAGCCCCGTGCTGCAGGGCTGTGAGCTGTGTGGCTGCTGGGGGGCTCCGGTCCCTCCGTGTGCCACCCAAACACGGGGGGGTCAGCTCCTGCTTTCGTGGAGTTGGTGGACGGCCATGCGGAGAGAGGGAAAAGACAAAGCAGCGTGGTTGGAACCTGTGGGCTGATTGAGAATGTCAGAGATGTCTGCTGTGATAATTCGGCTGAATTCAAAATGAGCTATTTGCTCCACCTGAGGTGGCTGTTGCTGCTTTCTTATTATGACTTAGCAGAGTCAGGACAGAGTAACACTCGTATTTACAAGAATAACAAGGGATTACACTTTGGAGCTGCAGACATGGCTGAGAGCAGCAGTAGTTGCTGTGTCTCTGCAAGGACGGTGGGATATACAAGAAGGTTCTCCTTCCACTTGTAGCAATAACCCCAGCAAGCTGGCTGACCATAACTGCCCTAACAAAACCCCACTGCTGGGAACACGTTGGGCCCCACATCTTGCTTCAACACCATTATACCTCTCTGCTTAAATTGAGTTGCAAATAAAATGGAAAGAATTGAGAAATTCACTGTCTTCGGGGCAGTTGTACTCTGTGTGACAAAGCGTTTCTTGGAACAAAGTCCTCAGCAGCAATCAAGGCAGTGAAAGCCGTGCAAAAAGCGTGGCGGTTCCGGCTGGTAATCGGCTTGGCTGGGGCTGCAGGGGAGATTAGCAGCAGCTCATCTTGGGGAGCACAAAGGGAACATGGATGTGAGACAAGTTACACAAATCAAAATGGCTTTTACCCTTGGAATTTCAGGAAGAACAAAGCTTTCTGGCTGCTTTCAGCCTGCATTTGTGCGCATGAAGAAAGCCACTGCGCTGCCTGAGAATATGGGGAAGTGCAGATAATCCTCAGCCAGTTCTGCACGGACTAAGACTCACTTCATTATGCTCCTTCCTTCTGCTTGAGAGGCAGATAAAGAGCACCAAGCTGAGCATTTTGCCAAACCAGGCTTAAGGCATCCACACCGGACTGAAAAGTGTACCGAAAGCTCTCCCAAAGTGGTTTGACATCCGAGCAGATAATGGGTTTCCAAAAAAGAGGCATAAAAACCCATTGCTTCTCAGGAAGCAGAACTGTCCTCAGGATTTAAGGGTAACCAAAATAATAGGCTGAATCTATAGGTCAATGTATGCATTTATGTTTTTTGAGACTATATAGGTACTTTAACTGGAGGAAGCAGAATGGCTGAGAAGGTAGTTGAAATGGCACAGGATTCATTAGTGTGTGCAATGAACCTCACCTAACTGCAGTTTCGTTTCAAGTGTGCAGAATCCCATAATATCTCCAGGTATTTTGGTGGCAGAGACCATAATCTAAGACCTAAGAGAAAGTCTAGGCTAAAATCTCTGTTCTATAACAAAAAGCACTGTCATTAACTACAGCCTCTGCTAAATTTAAATTTGTGTTTAATAACTTTACATTTAGATCCTAATCCTGCAGGGACCATGCACACCCAAGGACCACCATCCCTAAGGAGCTCATTATGAGGATTTGCTTAGCATTCCACCCATGCAGTCCTTGGGTCACTCCATGAGCAGTAGTGGCAGAAGCAGAGAGCATTTCTGGAGGCAGCACAGCACACACCTTGCAGGGGGGAAATGGATCCTCTGGCACTGCCTGGTGCTCACCTTGTGCGCCTGGTCCAAGGACTGCTTCCTGAAGTCCAGCTCCTCATCCAGGTAGCCCTTCTGCTTGCTGAACAGCTCCTGGTGCACAGGGAGGTGCAGTCAGTGCTGTGCCTGCCCTTCCTGCAGTTTCACCCCTGCCCCATTCCAATACCTTTTCATTCTCCAGATCCAGCATCTTCTGCTGCAGCGCGGACTCAGTCACTTCAATCTGCTGGAGCCACTGTGCACACAAACAGAGCAGGGCTGAGGCAGAGGCTGGGGGCACACGGCCGCAGGCGCAGTCAGCCCTCACTGGAACTTCAGAGTGCATCTTTGCACTGCAAACATGCAGCTAGCTTCACTGGTTGACAGGGGAAGGATGGAACTTACTGTGACACCTTCACTTTTATAAGAATTGGTGGTGGAAAAAAACATTAGTTCAAAGTTCACCATTTGCCCTCCAACATTTTCCTAATTAAATAACTTTTTAAAGCAAACAGTTCGTGCACATGGCTCGGATTTTCTCTCTATTCTGACAAGAACCCATGCAGGTGTAGTGCCCCATAGGGAATCATGGCCTCTGGTGAACACCCTCCGATTCATCCCCAGCTCCTCCAGCAGCTGTTCTGACACCAGGGCTCACGGTGGGGCTCTGCAGCCGTTACCTTTTCAGCCAGTGTGAGAACTGTCCTTGCTTGTATGACAACCACTTGCTCCTCGTTGGTCAGGTTCTGCACAAGATCAGAGCAGAATTACAACAAGTCCCGGCGCCTGGCATGTAACCCAGCACTGGGCCACTGCTGTGTGAGACAAATACGAAGTTAAATGCATTCAAGCAACAATAAACTAAGGCAAATAAAAATAGCATTGTAACACAGTGTTGCTGTAGGAACAGCTGTAATTAACTACTAATGCTGAATGGTGATCACACAGGTGGGGAGCTCTTCTAAAACTCTGGCATTAAGAAAGAAGATGCAGACACCAGATCTTGGTTTTGTCCAGCAGGGAATAAAAGCAGCTGCACCACACAAAACTGAGCTTTGTGGGACGTGCTGTTAGAGAAGAGATGCAGTCCTTGGCCTTTCCTTGCATGCACAACAGGCGTGATTGCGGGCACCAGGCTGGAACAGCAGGGTGGGAGGCGACCCCTGGGCGTGGGATTGACCTGCCATCAGCACTGCCAGTCCCACGTGCACTGACACGAACAAGGGTTCATCTTTCTGCCTTCCCCAGGGTCAGTCTCACTCACTGGTGCTTGGGTTTATGCACATGCTTTTATTCTTCACACCCCAAGGATTTTAGGATTTGTCATGCTTCTGCCAGTACAAGCATCTTGAATTGCAGCAGCAGTAAATATCGCTAATTACTTCAGTATCTTCTGATTCCTCTGCTATCTCCTGGCTTCAGGGCTGTTCGGAGGGGCAGAGGGTGGGCCTGAGCAGAGGGAGGTGCTGTTCTGACTGCTCCACGTGCCCCATGCACAGGGACACCCACCTGCACTGCAGTGCCTCTGCAGCTCAAGTGTGTGGGTGTGCATAAGATGTGTATGTGCACAATCACTTCAACTTGGTACAGGTGAAACACTTTCAAACTTCTTACTATTTGCTGCTGCTTCTCCTACTGCTGTTGTAACTTGTTGCGTAACAGCCTGCTTCCATGTAGACGTTTTTGGTATTAGACAAAACTGAAACACGCAGCCGTTAAAATGGAAACGTACAGCAAATGCAGAGAACAAACCAAATGTGAGCAGCGGTGAGAAAAAAAACAGAAGCACGAGAAAGCAAAATTTCAAAGTATTTTCTAAACCATTCACTGGCAATTTAGAAGCAATATGATGGTATCGAGGTCCTGTGCAGCACTTGTAAGAAGGCAAGTTGACAAGCTGGGGAACACGTAGCGTGTAGGTCAGTGCCCTGCAGACAGCTTTGGCCATTGCAACCCAAGCGGCTTTGCTACAATAAACGTAAGGACAATGCATACCAAAGCATGCACAATATATTAAAGGAACATACACTTACGGCGTTATCCCCTAAAATGTCCAATTTTTTCATCAGCTCTGCCACTACTATGTCCTAACAAGAGAGGAATGGAAAACCAGGAGTCAGAACAGAGTGTCGGATTTGAGTTAGAGAAAGGAGAACCGGAGGTGAGGATCCTTACTGTGACACCTTCTGCCTCGCAGTAAACCTGGAGAGGGCTTTTCCCCTCCGTGAAGGGAACGTGGTGGAAGTTGATAGCAGGTGATCTTCTTTCTCTCTCCTGAAAGAACAATTGTGTGATTACTGCACTGTTGCTATTGTTAATGCACAAGGATTGCCTCTAGCAGCTGGGCAGAGCAGCCCTGCCATGGGCACGGCGGCCGTGCTGAAAGTAACCTGGGGTACTTTTCCTCTCGTCAGCACTTCCACTGACTGTTTCACTGCTTTGTCTTACAGCAACAACACAGTTGGGACGGGCCCAGCCGTGGTGCCCCAGCCCCAGTGACACACACAGTGTGGGGCAGCAGCACAGCCCTGCAGCACGAGCTCACCTCCAGCTCCAGGATCCTGAACTCCAGGAGCTCGTTCTGGTCTTTGGCATCCTGCACATCGTGCTTCAGGCGAGCCTCCTCTGCTTCCATTTGTTTTATCTGTACAAGAAAGCAATATGCGTTAGTAGCATTTTCTGCATTCCGTAAGCAATAGATGTGATTTGAATAATACTTGTAGAAGTGCTGGGCACCTTGTCCACAAGTTCTTGGTTCCTTCTGTACAGTGCTTGCTTCTCCTCAATCCACTTCATGTCCTGGGAAACACAAATGGTTGATAGTATGGGTGAAAACTGGCAGTGTTTGGCACAGGCACAGCAGCACGTCGTTCATTAAGTCACACATGCAGAGAGAAATGATGTTGCATAGGAAATTGCAACTCTATTATTGCCTGTGATGCAACAGAGCAACTCTTCCATCTTATTTGAGAAAGTCCATAGCGTACAAATGGAATTTAAAAACTCTAATGACTAAAAAGAACTCTTTCAGGTTAAGAAAAGTTTGCCTTCAGAAAGCTATGTCTAGCTGTCCAGCTCCTGCTAAATTTTGGTCACGTGGATGCAAGTCAGGTTTGTGGACATGGGGAAGGCAGCCAGCAGCCTGCACTGGGCACTGCCTCCCATCCCCAGCTCTGACAGCTTCCCCATCTTATCCCTCCTTCAACAAAGCAAACTCTTACAGAGCACCAAGGAAAGCTGGCGATGAAAGCTTACTGTAATGCACGCAAACCAAACATTTCGCAGAGAACGGCCATCCTCCCCCACACTCCCCCTGCCCACCCTGCACTGCAGCTGCCCCTGGGATGGGGCAGGGCTGAGGGCATTACCTGCCCCTGCTCCGCCAGGGCCTTTTCCAGGTCCTCTATCTGAGCCTGGGATCGGTGTATCTCTGCTTGGAGCTGCTCACGTGTCTGTAGGAGAGGAGGGAAAAACACCACAGAAATAAATAAGCAAATACAAATTCCCTAACAGCCGAAAGCTAACACAGATACGGAAAATGCTTAAAACATCAAATCCTTTTAACAAGTAATTTTAACAGCTCTATGGCAGGGTAAATTTGGAGCTAAGCATGCGGCATTGGTCACTCATTGTAAAACAAAGCCTACAAGATGGCATGATAATTTTAAGCTCTTAGATAAACATCCTGGTGGGTTGGTACAAGAATGGGACAGGACACATGGCTTCTTACAGCCGACCACAGGAGGTGCAGCTGGCAGCCCTCTGTGCTCCAGAACGAGGTGGGTGACACCAGCAGGCAATGCATGCATTCGTCTCGCCATGAAAACCAGTGCAAGGAGTGATGTGGGACACAGCAGAGAGCACACTGTGTGAGCAGGGACACACTGACAGCATGCACTGCTCCTGTGCACTCAGTGCCCTTCTGCACCGTATGTCGTTCTCACCCACGCTCAGAGCTTCCTTCTTAAATATCCAACACCTCCCTGCTTTTTTGCTGTAGAGTACGAGGAACTGTCAGTAGCTGTTTTATTCATCAAATGCTATGTTTATAGAACATTTTCTTTTCTTGAGCCATTTATCTGCTCTTTATCCTGTCCTTTGCAAATGAAAATGATCCTTTTTTGATTGCTATGGTTCTCTTAGGCTTCAGACTGCCAGCTGAAAGCAGAGCTTATCCCTTACTGGCTGTGTTCTCCCTTGCACTCTGTGCCCCAGCAGCTACGTGACACACTATGTCCTTGTAGCACAGAGCAGATTCCTCATGAGCAGAACGTCTTACATCTGATAAGACATCTGATAAGGAAATGACACTAGAGACAATGAAGCTGCGTGGCCATGTGAGCCAGGTAGACAGGCAGAGCTGCACAGGATACTTGGAAGCCTCATTAAGAAGATGAATTTTGGAGCTGCAATCCGTATTATGAAGAATCAAATAATTAGAATGCAGAGGAACTGAATAACAGGCATTATGCACTTAAGGTCAACCATAGTGGATTTTTATAGAAAGAGAGCTTACTGTTAAGGATTTCCCATTAAAAATCTGGCTGAATTTCTCTTAATCTGATCACGAGGTGAAAACAGCAGAACGAATTCAGTGTGGTTCCCTCGGCAAGCAGCGCAGGCTGTAGTGGGCTGGGCAGGAGGGAGGGGGTGGGATGGGGATGGGGACGGGACCCCCCCGTGGGACCCCTAATCCCACAGCCCAGCCAGGTGCCAGAGGGCAGCTGACACCCTGCAGTGTGAAGAGGTACAACGACACGGTGCACACAACAACAGCCCTTTAGTGCATGTAATATAAGCCATTTAGACCTTAACTTCTCGCTCCGCATCCAATGTTCCTCCGACCTGTTCCTGCAATAGGGCGTATGCGCGCTGCAGAGCCTGGTACTCCATCGTCAGCTGCCGGAACCGCAGTTCTGTCTCTTCTTTGGCCATGCCCTGAAATCGTTCAAAGCAAACCTGATTTGTGCCAGTTACTTTTTTTTTTTTTTAATTCTGCGATGAGAGATAAAAAGTTAAAAAAAAAAAAAGAGTGGATAATTGCTTTCTCTAGAAGTGCTGAAGTTACTACTGTTAGAATGCAATTTGGGAAGCACTGAAGATCTTATTTGTGTGTTCTCACACTATTTCTCTTTTGTCCAGTAAACACGCCTTGCATACACCTAACTAAGATAAAATATATAATTATATATATATATATATAAAATAAAAGAAATAGAGTGAATTTCCCCCTCCTTCCATCTGAGTCATACACTAGCAACTGGATGACCCTATATTACTTTACCAGGTAAAGCCATCACACTTAAAGGTGAAAGCACAGCTTTCTTGCACCACCAATAGGTTTCCAGTCTGCAGACTGACCCACACCTAACATCTCAATTATTAAAACAGGAATCTGGAGACAACAGTTGTAGAAATGGTGACATCAACAGGAAGAGCACGTTTCATCTTCTTTCCCCTCCTTACCACATCCAGCACTGTGTGCTTCCACATCAGGCTGACCGCAATATTTCACTCTACCTGAGATGAAATGACACTGTGGGTGCATGCAGAAACTCAGAGCTGTCTGCACGGGGGAAAATGGCAGTAGAAGAGTGAAAAATAAATAGGTTCCAAAAAATAGATTCAGCCTCCTGCAGTGCCGCTCGCACCTGGCAACCACTCGTGTATCTTTTAGGATAGAAATATGCATTGTTTAAGTTCCCTTTCAGAATCAAGAGATCTGATTACAACCCATGAAACAGACAAAGTGACAGAAGAGAAACTGCAGCTATCACAGCCTGCAATGGCTGCTGCCACTCTTAGGAAGTTGTGTTTGTTACAAGGCTCTTGTTAAGCTGAGGAACAGCTATCAGGGCTGGCATACACAGGGAGTGCATTTGTAGGGAAGAGGTGCAGAGTGCTGGAAACAATCCTTTCCCTTCATTATACACACTCAGAGTCCCAGAAAAGCCACATCCTCAGAGCATTGCAGGGAGCCAGCTCCTCCCCAGCACTGTGCTGGCTGCAGAACCCAGGGCAGCACGGTCACACTGCTCATGGCTGCACTCATGCCAAGCTCTGGATGATAGAGGAGAAGTGGGGTGCAGGTTGAATGCAGGGCACCTGGCTCCTGGGACCTCCCCTCTCCAGACCCACTCTAGATCCAGTGTTCTTAGGATAATAGCATTTCCAGTTTGGCTAAAAGCTGTGAAGTTACCAAAAGCCTGAGACCCAGAAACATTACCCATCACACCCAGTGTGACATCAGCACCAGTCTGTAGTGCTGTGGTCAGAGCTGACCTGAAATGAACAGACTAGGAGGTCCATTGCACAGTAACAGCGGGGTTCGATGCCCAAAACACACCATGCAGCTCCACAAATACCTCTTCCAGGTCATCTTCAGGGGTGCACGGGGTCTGGTCCGTCCGATCCGTTTGATATGAGATAGAGGAACCATCAGACTCCAGGGAGGCTTCTTCATCATAGCCGAAAAACGTCTCCACCACCGGCTTCTGGCCAGAGAGGTGTGTCAGTGTGTCCTCGTGCTGTGCCCCACACTCAGCTGCTGGGCCGGGCTTGGGAGGGCTGTAGGAATCCTCTCCGTACCCTGCAGCTTTGGGGTTTGTGTGCACACACCCCGTTGGACACCACCCCCAGCCCTGCCCCCAGGCTGTGCCATCCGGGCAGCCTGCTGTGGGCCCTGCACTTACACCCCGTCCCTCCCCCAGCCCACACAGCCACTGTACCCACCGTGCCCATCACAAGCCAACCTTTTTATTTTGCTTTTTTTCTTTTACCTTAGGAATTCTTGTCATTTTTTTCCTTTGCTTCCTATACCTTAGCAGCTTATCACGTTCCTGAAAGAGCCAGATACAGAGCTGTTAATTAAGTTAAACTCTGCAGTTTTCAGAGTCACGAGGCAACCAAAGAGATGGCAGTGCTGGGCAGGCTTTAATTTTGCTCCAGCGTCTTCTGAGCTCATAGTAAACAATCATCAAATGCTTTTCATGGTCATGAAAATCCAAACAGCAAAACAAAAGCAGGACAGCACAGACACGGCTCTTCACCCTGCTCCACTCTGCAGCTCCATGCAGTGAGGCTCTGTCCTGGGACAAAAACAGAGCCCAGCCCTCTGGCTGCTCTGTGCCATGCATGCATGTCATTGCCCGAACTGCACAGAATTCTGAGGCTGTTTGCAACAAGCACATCCAAAACCAACAACATTAACAACAAGCTCAAGCCAAACCCGCCTGCGTTCCCCAAGGATGTGCAGCTCTCCGTGACTCTGATGAAGGGGCTGAGCCTGTTCTGCTGCCAGCCAGTTTTTCCCTTTGCTGGTAATTATGACTCTCTTCATAGAGTGCTATTAATTTTTTATTGTGCTGATTATTTTATTATTATTATTCTGGATGGCACATCCAGGCAAACTCTGGAGCTGAAGAGCCAGTGAATTCCTACAAGGATGCTCTCCCACCGCCCCACCTCAGCCCTTTGCTGGAGGGTGTGCTTATGCTGGGACACCAACAATCTGCCCCTCCTGCATTATCCACAGCAACAGAGGAAAATCAAACACTTGTTTTTTGCTTGGCAACATAAGCTTTGCTGCACACTTAGCAATGGAAAGCAAAACGGTACAGCTGTTTGGTACATATTGGTGGCTAAACTTAATGAAATCTTCACCACCAGCAGCAAAGGGATGAGCTGTGCAGGGCCCTGTAGGGGAGCTGCTGTGGGTATGATGAGGCAAGGCTGGGATATCTGCCCAAAAACACCCCTGTGATGTGGCAGAGCTGTCCCAGAGATGGGCACCACGTGCTGTGCCCTGCTGCCATTTGTGGTGTCCTCGGGGCAGGGGAAATCTTTCCTCTCCCAGCAGAGCTCTGCTCCACACTAGCACTGCACTGTTGTCTGAAGAACAACTGCTGGTAGGGCCTTCAGTGGTAACGGCATGGGGACAGATACTGAGTTACTTTGCTGTCCAGTAAGGGAGGGAAGTGACAATAAGTGTCACCTGTGTGCTTTTCATGACCTGCATTTAAAATATGTAAAAAGATGAGGGTAAAGTTAGCCTCACACGTACCATGACACTCTTCACATAGCCAGCAGTTTCCAGGGTCTAACAAAAAAAAGAATAAAATAACTTCAGTAAAAGTGCATAAGAAAAACAACCCACAAATAAAACAAACACGTTTTCCTTGAGGAGTGGTCTGATCACAGTATGTGAAACACTTCCATCTGCTCTTTTCAAAGACTGAGCACAAGTTAGCAAAGAAGAGAAAACCGAAGCACAGTGCTGCAGGACGTGTCCCTTGTTTATGCAGCAGCTGCACTCAGGCCTGGTGCTGCTGTGGCTGAGGGAGCCTGGGCAGTTTGCTTTGCTGGTGCAGGATCCGGCCGCTGGTGTGTGTGTGTGTGTGTGTGCATGCTGGGAGCACTGCAGTGGTTGCACTGTGCAAGCACTATGTGGGATGGAGGGATTCTGTCCAGATGCTGTCCCACATATAACTGAGATTCAGGTCAGTGACTACTGAGCACACAGACACCAGCTGTGCTCCCTCTGCTGCTGTGCCCGCTGGAGCACAGCACCCCAGACATGCCCTCCCTTGGGCTTCCCTTCCTTTGTATGTGTCCTTAGATGGCCCTGCTCCATCTCACCTTGGAGAGCTCATCAATGATATTCTGCTGTTCGATGATTTGCAGTCTCAGGAGATCCACCTCTCTTTCTTCCTGGCTGTGGTCGAGGTCATTTAAGGAGCTCGGTCTCCGCATTGCTCCCGCTCTTTGCCTCTGAAAGAAACCCATATGGCAAAAGAGGAAACAATCCAGAGGCTTTGCTGAAGAGCTGCCTTCAGCCTTTCCCGTTCCCAGCTATTAATGCACTCATCTAGCAGCTGTGCTCACAGCTGACCCTTGGTTCTGCCCACATCCCAGGCCATTCTCCTGCTGGAGCAGGCACTCAGGGGGCTGTGGCCACCAGCACTGCCTGCTGTGTTGTGCGCTTGTGTCCACCTGCAGCAGCCTGGGTTGCTGTGCTCTGGGATGATGAGGGGCTGAGGTTGGCCCCGTGGTGATGGCATCTATGAGTGTCACCACCAACAGCTGCTGCTCATGGCTGCCAGCAGTGCTGGAGGTAACCTCGGAGGGGAAGGGAGAGCACAGCAGGTGTGGGCTCCCTTGGCTGATGGGGTGACTCTGGTACAAAAGCCAAAGCTGAAGCGAACTGCTTTGTGTTTGCATTGTAAAAGTGCTCTGTGACTGAGCAGCCATCTGATCAACATCCACAAAGCTCACACAGTTCTTTTTCTTCAGAACTATTGTGTTCTGTCAGGCCAAAATAAAGCATGTTATGTGAAAGAAAACAAGCTGAAGCCACAAACCACTCAGGACGTCACAGCAGACAGCAGGAAGGAGAAGGAGTTCCCAAGCACCTCACGAGCTGTGCTGCTGCTGCCATGTTGCCCTGTGTTCTGGGATGGCCCCCATTCCCAGACTTACCATTGCTATGTTTTCCTGTGTGACAAATTTTAATTTGTTTTCCATTCGACGTAAGGCATGTGACAGCTCTTCGTTCTTCCTGCTGAGGCGTTTGTTTTTGTCCAGGATGGGCTTGTACTGACTTTCAGCTTCTCTGAGGCGTTTTAACTGAAAAATTAAGAGAGAATTGACACCTCAGGAACAAATATGTTTTATCAAATAAATTAATCATTTTCTTTCGCTACCATAGTAGCAGTACTTTCTCTTTATACGTGGCAGAATATATCAGGAAACTCTTGGTATAGCCCATTGGGAAGTGGGTTGTTCCTCACTTGTTTGCAACAAATATACCATGTGGGGAATGTATTTATTGAAAATAATTATAATTACAGAATCACAGAATGGCTTGGGTTGGAAGGGACCTCAAGGATGATGAAGCTCCAACTCCCCCACCACACACAGGGCCACCAACCTCCACATTTCATAGCAGCCCAGGCTGCCCAGGGCCTCATCCAACCTGGCCTTGAACACCTCCAGGATGGATGGGGCATCCACAGCCTCTCTGGGCAGCTGTTCCAGCACCTCACCACTCTCATAGGAAAGAAGCATCCAACCTAAATCTTCCCTCCCTCAACTTAAAACCATTTCCCCTTGTCCTGCAGTTATCAACCCTTTCAAAGAGTTGACTCCCCTCCTGTTTGCAGGCTCCCTTTAGGTACTGAAAGGCTGCAGTGATTCACCCCTTAGCCTTCTTTTCTCCAGGCTGAACAAGCCCAGCTCCCTCAGCCTGTCTTCGCAGGGGAGGTGATGATTCTTGCCAATTCCTTCTTTAAAAGGACACTGTTTTACAAACAAAAATCAGTGTGATTCTGTTGGTGCCCATCCCAGCTGCTCACCAGCTCGTTCCTCTCCTCCGACAGCAGCGCATTGCGGTCCTCCAGCTTCCTGATGATGGCGCTCAGCTCGGCGATTTTCAGTTGGAAGCGCCGGGCATCCTTTTCATCCAACTGCTGTTCCTAAAACAAAGATCAACTGCAAATAACTGCTCCTAAGTGCACAGGGAATATCAGTGTTATTCAAAGCTCAGCCTCCTTTTTATCCCGAATCCAAACATTTCAAAACTATCAGATGGAAGGGCGTCAGGTACGCCTTAGTGGAACTGACCACTGAGAGCTGCGAGATGGGACCAATGGAAAGGCAAGAGTGAAAATGTAACAAAGTATGCAAATGCAAAGTATGTATATGCAGATACAAGGTGGCAAATGCTAGACTTGGAAATAGAAAAGAAAATATAAAAAAAACAAGGCAGTGTTTCCAGTGTATGCCACTGTTGAACTGAGTGTTTCAGACACGTCGCCCACTCCGAGGACTTTGTTATAAGAAGATGGTATCAGAAGTACTGACATACAAATGGGGAAAATCCATGCAATTATACCATTGCATAAGCTCTCTTCCATAAAGCTATGGCCCTTATTGGGTTCTGTTGGGTCACTCGTAAAGCAAATGGGGTAGCACTTTATCTGAGTGAAAATGCTTAAATCAATTCATAAGTGAAGAGAAATACAGGTAGATGTTCTCATTCAGAATCAGGGAGAAGTTACATCCATTTACAGGTGTGACGTGCTATTTTTTCCTCCTCTTGTACTTATTCTGATGTTTGACAGAAGTTGAGCACAAATCAAAAGAAGCAAATTAGTGTCCTCAGTCCTGGTGGCACTTTCAGGAGGTCTATGATTCCTCATTCAACAGGTGCAGGAGAGGCTTGGGATAAAGAACAAAATAGATCGCTTTGCTCATGTGTGACTATTTACACTTCTACTGAGAAAATTAAGGCTGTTGCAAAGGAAATCTTGATGAGAATCAGCAATGGAGAAAATTGGCAAATGTGAGACATACAAGGTTAGTTAACTGAAGCTTTCTGCTGTTAGCAAATTAAGGCAAAAGCAGAAAGGTGCTGTTGTTACAATTAAAAAAAAAAAAAAAAAAAACATCGTGAAAAGATGACTAAGATTTAATGTTTTGGATATTGTGTTGTAGAAAAGAGACAGGAAAGAAGAGGTTAACAGGCTTCTAATTGACTTTCCGGCCCACTGAAAGCAATTACAGCGCGAGGATGGAGGAGCAGGGAGTGCAGCACCGCGGGGCTTCCAGTGCTTGTGCACCGGGCACCTTCACCCGCCTCCCTCTGCAAAGCAGCCTTGCACATCTGCTTGCACAGTACATTGTCAGCAGTTCCAACAGCTAGCACACATACATTACTTGGTTAGAAAAGCATTTGCATCATTTGTTGACAAGAAGTGTGTCAAACAGTCAAATTAAGGCAGGTGGTAGAAGAATGGTACGGAAGGAAAGGAAAGAAGAGAGAGAGGAAAATTTTCATCCTGGTATCAAAAACAAACAAAGGAAACCAGAAAACAAAACGACAAACAAGCAAAAGCTCTCCCATAATTTGGTTCGGTTTGAAATGTTAAGCATTCAGCTAACGAAGGAGGGCAAGAAATTAATGCCTCTCCGTTTCCCCTGGGTTACTATGGGAAAGCTGTTGCTCACAGTGCCCTCATCAAGATTCTGTCATTTGGTGTCATTTGGTCATTCTGCTCGTTCGTTTGTTTAGGTGAAACCACGTGAAAGTGCTTACGGGGCTTCCCGAATGATCTGAAGCGTCTCCTGCACCACTTGCATAAGGAAGTTCCCGCTTGGGGCTGCCCAGGTGCCGGTCAGACTCTTTGATCTGGGACAGTTGTTCATCTAAAGCCTCCTTTTGGAGCTGCAGTCTCTGGGCATGCCCGGCTTGAACCCCTAACTCTCTTTCCAGCACGTAGACTGCTCTGTCTTTAAACTTAATCTCCTCCATCTATAAGGAGAACAGAACACAATCACACACACATGCAGCAGCTCGGCCGTACGTAGCGCCCTACAGCCCAACCACTGCCACAGAGCCAACCCCTGGACATGAAGACAAACCCTCCTCTTGCAAACACAACAGCAAGGAATAATGGACAACGAACAAACCCAGCATTGCGTCAGTAACTCATGAGCATTGTGCATGCACGTGTGGCCGACCGGCAGCTTCTAGAGACCATCCCAACTTTTCAGAAGTTTTTCAGTAAGGCAATTAGGAGACAACCCGCCGTTTCAGTACCACTTCAGAACACCCCTCATCACTTTGGTGAACAACAAAAGTAAAAGGGATTAAAAAAAAGGAAAAAGATTCATAATTAACTTCAAGAGAAAGAAGTTAAAAACTGAACGTTTCCAATGCTCAAAAGGTTTTCTTTCCAAAAGTTTCCCTTTTGAGTGATTTCCTTAATTATCTCCGCAGCAGGGCAGCCCTGGGCTCCGCAGGGCAGTGCAGACAGGACAGGGCCAGGGCTGCCCAGGGACAACTGGTTGTGCACTGGAACATTTGTCTGCCTGCAGATGAGTGCAGTGCTGCAGCACAACCTCAGGATCTTCACAGCTGCATTGTGCTCATACACATAAGGTGTGAATGTGAAGTTAATTGCACGCACACACCTCTGGGTGGCCGGATGTGCTTACAGGGAGTGGATCTGGGAAGCAAGAGATTGCTAAAGCACATCCATAAGGTGCCTGTTGGCTTCTCCAGGCACAGCACGTGCATCCTGGACACGTAAGGTTTTAAGCAGTTCTGAAACTCGACACATTTATAGTTTAAAGGGACAGTTTTAAAACGTGGCCTGCTCAAATAAGAATGCTTTGCCATGTGAGGACTGGATTTGATACGTTTATTGCTTTGTGATAGTTTTATCTGTAACCTGGAAAACAGTATGAGAACTTGGAAAAGAATGGCAGCATATGGGCAGATCTCTGCAAGGAGTTGTCCCTGCATCCTGCAGCCACCTCCTGGGAACAAGTGTAGGTTCTCTCTGTAAAATGGTGAAAACAGGAGCTGTTCAGCTGCATATTAGTATGGGTGCTCTCGGGAATTCCCATTAAGGCAATGATCTGCTAACTCAGATATGTGACTCAGATATGTCCATAGAGGTCCTTCTGCTACATATGTAAATAGTTAGAGTCATAGACTGGTTTGAGCTGGAAGGGACCCTAAAGATCTTCTAGTTCCAACCCCCTGCTGTAGGCAGGGACACCTCCCGTAGCCCAGGTTGCTCACAGCCCCATCCAGCCTGGCCTCGAATGCTTCCAGAGAGGAGGCATCCACAGCCTCTCTGGGCAAAGAGATCAACAGAAATCAATATGGATCCATAAAGGAAAAGATAATGCACCATCAAATGATTATTTGCTAAAAATAGGTAGAATGTTGGTGGTTATCTCTATTTCTGTGAAAACAGAGTTGTGGTATTACACAAACAGCACTTTAAAAGGAATAAAGCTGCAGCAGAAAATGCAAGGGATTTGTAACAGTGTCTCAGCAGTGGTCTATCTTCCAAAAAAACCCTAAAAGAACATGTGGTGAACAGCTGAGGAAGCATCAGTGGTCACATTTCCTGTCTTAGGATGAAATTCACATTCATGAAACACATAAAACAATTTGATGCTGCCATCTCTCTATTTGAGTGAAATGGTGTGGAAGCAGTACCAAAGGAAGGAAGCATTTACTACAATTATTATCCAGCACATTTCTTCCTTGCACCACAGACATTAAGAGGAGTGTAAGATGAGGTCCTGGCAGCAGTGCCAGCCGTGAGCACAGCTGAGACCAGTTATGCAAACCTAATTGCATGCAAAGCACAATGTGCTGTCCTCTCCTTGTGCAGTTCCAGCACGGTTTCACATTTAGCTGGCCTTAAGCCTTGTGGCTCTTTTAAAATGTATTATTTCCACAGTGATTTTAAAACCTACATATAGGTTTCCCTGCTTGGGAAATTTCTACTTGTGATGTTCTTGGGGCTTTGCAAATTCTGCAGACACTTGCATTTGAGGCACCTGCATTTGGAAGGCAGCCTTCCAGCAGCTGAGATGTGAGTGAGAGCAGCCCTTTGAGGCAGAGCCATTCCCTAACAACCTCCTTGCCTGCATCGTGTCCCAGACAGCAGCTAGGGTGTGCAAAGGGACAGCCAGCAGGTAGGGAATGGGGGGGGGACAACACTGGCCAGAGAAGGACTCTATCTGCGGGCTGGCTGAACTCAGCCAAATGTTTGTGACATGTCCAGGGAATGCAGCATGCCCAGCCATGCCCCTGCTCACACATGGACACTGGAACATTTGCCCAAGGAGGCTGTGGATGCCCCATCCCTGCAGGCATTCAAGGCCAGGCTGGATGTGGCTCTGGGCAGCCTGGGCTGCTGGTTGGTGACTCTGTACACAGCAGGAGGTTGGAACTGGATGAGCACTGTGCTCCTTTGCAACCCAGGCCATTCTATGATTCTATGGTTGGTGATGGGCTGGGTCAGATCCAGCCCTGCAAAGCAGCCGCATTCCTGAGTGGGGTGGCATCAGATGGAGGCCATATGAATGCATCTAAATTCATGTATCTGCTGTTTTACATCGTTCTGAAATGTACAAATTACAATTTGAAGTTTACTAAAACCAGAAGGGACGTTGCCATATGGACTTGTTCCTGTCTGCAATACGACTCTTGTCTTTTACATTAACATCTTGGAAGCATCTGAGCCAGGAGAACTGGTTTGCAGTAATAGTTTGAGGGTTTTGGGAAGTGCTTCCCTTTCATAAAGAACAGAGTTTTCTATGGAGCACCACACCAGCTTGGAACATCGCAGCCCTCCCCTGTGAGGTGCCAGCGGCTCCATTGAAACCAATTGTGGCCAAGTCAATGGAACAGAGAGTGCTTAATGTCATTCAGGAAGCACTTAGGGCCTGGTAAAGCGATGGCATCGTGTAATTTAATTAGTACGGTTAGATAATCTGATTCATTGAAGCAGGAATAAAAAAAGTTTGATTTTCAAAGGCAATTTAGAAAACATGACATTCAATCGCTCTATCCTTCATAACTAAGAACATATTTATTTTATAACTTCTACATTAGAGGCCATTAGCATGGATTTTATTGTAATGCCTTAAGTTTATTTAGGATGTACATTAGCCATCCTTTCACTGTGATGTATTAAATCAATGCATCCAGCAGTGTATGTTTAGAGAAGAGTTACTTACACTGCAGGATATTTGAACAGCATTGACAGATCAGTTGGTTATAAATTGTTTTAACATCCTCTTCTTAAAAGAAAATAATATATGAGGGGAAGAAGCAATGTGAAGTCTGAGAGAGCGGGTGGCAGAGTACAGGGTGAGCAGTGCAGCAGGGTGTTCCATGGACAGACCACAGTGCCTTGCTTTCTCATGGGGCCATCGTTTTCCTGGTGCTTGTTTAGTTGGCTGTGATTTAGCTTTCTTAATAGTCAAGTGAGAATGGGTTAGAACAGACATTTATGAGTTTGTCCTGAGACACTGCATACCTTTAAAAACATGGCAGACCCCAAAAGATGGTAGCATCAAATCAAGACTGAAAGAAAACCCCAAATACACCACATTGGAGTATGGGTGTTAAATTTGTTCCCGTGTTCTTGGGAATGGTAGCAAGGTTAAGGGAGTCCTGCAGATGGGCTGTGCTGCACTCAGAGGCTGTGGGGGAATGGCAAGGCAAGCGGCCAGCTGCCAGTGCAAACTCCAGAAAGTGGAGGTGGCTACCAGGTCTGCTTGCAAAGACTTCCCTTCCATGGGGAATTCTCCTGTTCTTCTTTCAAGGGGTACATTCTAACACCCCCAACTAGCTTCAGAGTCCATTGGATTTATATTCTGAAGCTGTTGGTGTGTAGCTTTGAGATCCAAACTGTTGTAGCTGAGACTCAAACGGTCTGATGAGCTGATTGAAACACACAGATGCAGCAAGGCTCAGATGGATCCACAGACAGGGACTGTCACTGTCTGCCCTGTGGGAAAGCCACTGAGGGGGGACACAGAGGGGAAAACTCCTCCTGAACACCCTGCAGAGTGGTGGGGTCATCACCTCCAGGCTGTGGGGCTCAGGGCTCTAGGATGTGGAGAAAATAGCATTTTGGGATTGCATACAGCTTGTTATAGAATGTTTACAGGAACCAGCAATGGGGAGGGATGGAAGTTGGTCAGTGAGGAGCAAAGGGTGGGGAAAGAGAGGGGGAAAAGGGATGAAAGGAGGCAAAAAGCACGACTATTCTGTGGGATTCCCCTCACACAGCTGGCAACAAAAGGCCTGCTCCTCACATCTGAAACATGACTTGTACCAATAAGCACTGACGGAGGTAAAAAACAGCTCCATACAAAAACATCCCATAGCAGGTTTAAAAAAAGACATTTTGACATCACTATTAGCAATCAGAAAATGGACCTGGAGTAAGCTCCAGAAGTTTGGTTTCTATCCTCATGCATTTAATGCAGCCCAGCACTTTCATTTAACTGCTATCAATAACAGAAGCATTATAAAAACACAGATACAGATAGCAACACATACCAGCCTGCGAATTTCTCTCTCACACTCCCTCTTAATTCTGGTGATTTCCTCTTGGTGCAGGTGATACACGCTCCTTATCTCCGCGGCTTTGATTTTGTCAGCTTGGATGACCATAGTCAGAGCCTCCTCCACTTGTTTCTTAGCCCCCTTAAGTTCCGAAATTTCCTGCTGCATTTTTATTTTCTCTACCTCGAAGCCCCTCTTGGCCTCCTCCTTGGCCTCTGTGAGCAGCACGGTTTTCACCTTGTCGGGAGCCCCGTCGCGCACAGCAGTCAGCAGGGCCTGGAGTCTCTGGATTTCGTTATCTTTAATTTTTATTACTCTAAGCAGTTCGGCCTCGTGCTGTCTCAGAAGTGCTTCCCGAACAGCTTGGAGCTCCTTCATTTTCTCTTCGTGAAGCTTGACTTTGAGCTCTGTGACCACCACTGTGCTTTTGTGCTGCTCGTGCTCTTTGATTTGCTTCACCTCCTGATTCTTCTCTCTCTCCAACTTGCTGACCTGTATGGAAAAACAAACAAGAGCAGCATTTTTACGAACAAAATGATTACCAGAAATTCTGAGGTAATCTAGGACAGACATGGATCACAGTATTTTATCAAACCCTAATGTTGTACGCCTGTGCCTGGGAGAGTTGGTGCTATTGATGCAGAAGTACAAATGTGCTTAATCTCAGGTGCTTTATGAACTCTTTTCAGAAGAGCTTTTGGGTTCCAATGGGATCAGCAGGCACTGCCTTGGCTGCTCTGGCATCAGATCCATCCCTTAGTAGACCTCACTGCTCCCCCTGCCTTCGTGCTGTACACTTCAAAAAGAGAAATATCCTCTCCTGAGGCATTTCATTGGAACGAAATGCACAGTACAAAACCCTTCTCCTCAAGGAAAAGGCCTTTATGATTTGTGGGAAAGGCTCTTCATGCTGCCCAGCCGCAGTGCTGCTGGACTCCATGCCTGGGGCTCTGATGGGGCCCTCGGGAGCACAGCTGCCCCCTGGTGTGGCCAGGGGTCTCAGGGCTGTGTGTGATTCCAGGCACACCGGAAACACCAGGATCACATTTGTCACAGCCCTAACAGGATCCGTCCCCTCTCACAGAAGCACCAAGTGCTCACCTTGTGGCTACCAGAGCCAGCGTAGCTCCACGTAACCAAAACTGGTGGTGGCGATGGATAAAAACCCTTCAAACACAACTGGTCCTCTGTGTGCTGTGGCTATGAACCTCTGCACTTCAATGAGGCACTAAGTTGGAGATCCTTTCCTTTAATTCTGACCATTGTAGCAGTGAATATAGCTGTGTGCATGGAGGGCTACTCTTGCACACGCACCAGGAGAGCTGGCAGCAGCCACCAGTAGTGTCCTGGTGTACCAGTGTGCCACGTGTCCTAAGGGAAAATATCCACCTCGGTGGCAGTAGGTTTGGCACAGTGGTAGGCATTGCTCTGCAGTGTATTCCCAGCATGTATCTGCTGTAGAATTTGTGGCATTTGCATAACTGACCATCTCCTTCGAGGAGGTTTGCCCAGGGGCAGGGAGTGCAATTCCATTTGCTCTCTTTTCTGCTCCAAGTTGTTTATCAGATCAGTCTGTGCATATATTTAAATGCCAAGATTAGGAAGTGAATATTCAATACATTATAATTACTTACTGGGAAAAAAAGGTCAGGTCAATTCTTTTTAGTGAAGCTGCATTTTGTCTTCCTATGGTGACACAATAAGGTTTCCTTGCTAAGAATATGCCTAGGTCTGTCTCCCAAATGAGAGCATTCTATAGAACTGCAGCTGCAAAGGGAAAACTGCAACGTTACAGAGAACTGGGAGAAAGTAATTTGTGAATAGAGGAAGAGGAATCCTGACAGCTCTGTAGAAAAGACTTTTCTTTGTCAAGAAGTCAGCCTAAGTGGTAATATCTGTACATTTTAATAATCCCTTGCGGCCTCAGAGGCTTTAATTTGCCTGATTTAGTGCCCTAGAAGCATTAGCTAACATGTAAGTGTAATAAATTTCTGCAAGAAGCACAAAACCCAAGTGAACTAAGCATTAATATCCAAACACTACATGAAGCAAATGCTCAGAAACTGGACTAACATGTCTGTGATACAAGCTATGAACAGAATTACGTTTAATACACATCTAAGAATTAGCCAGCAACTTCCAGAGAAGTCTGAGCCCTTTACTTTCTGGCCGGGTCTCTGAAGAAGCCCTCCTGCCACATCCCATGGGGCTGCTCAGGCACAGACCCGAATGGAGCTGTCTGCACATGCAGGGAGGCACAGAAAGCCTGGTGGCAGCTGCTGTGAAGCCCCAAACAGCCACGTTTTATCAGCTGCTTTTTCAGTGATGAATTATGCATTGCAAATAACAAAACGTGCCAGACCACAGAAGGGTCAAATGATATTTCAGTTCAAAACAGTGGCAGGAACTCAATCGAAGCTATGATGAGAACCCTTGTATTAAAAGGGGGTGACAGTGGGAAGGAAAGTTGTGTCCTTGTTCCTAAAGCTGCAAACTCTGCTTCTCCGCAGAATTATCGGTTGCTGCCCTATTAAAACGTATGTGTGTGTGTGTTGCCTTTGCAAGCACCCTTAAAAATTAGAATCACAGTCTGCAGTGTCAAATGATGGTGCAGACGAATGGAGAGCACAGCGCTGTGCATGCAGGGCAGTGCGTGTCTCCATCTGGCGGCTCAGCAGGCCCAGCCTGACGGCTGCATCGCTGCCTTGGGGCCGTGGCTCTGCTTTGGAAGCGGGGTGCCTTGTGTGGAGCACAGGGGGAACCGCTCAGAGCACGACGGGAATGGGTCCCCCCACTTCACACAGGGGTCAGCCCCCGCTGCTGCGCCCCGTGTTTCCCGAGGCACGTAGGTGCGCGAGGCAGAGGGCTGTGAGGGGTGGGAAGGATGCACACCTTGCTCTTCTCCTGCTGGAGCTCAATCTGGATGTCGGTCAGCTTGGCCCGCAGCTCCTCGTTGGCGGCCTGCAGGGCAGCCAAGGCGTCGGGCCTGGCGCGGCTGCTGCCCCTCCTCGCCATGGTGCGGCCCCGCGTCGCCCTGCGGTGCTGCTCCTCCGCCGCTACATCTTCTCACCCACCTGCAGGGAGGGAACGGATGTGTGAGGCAGGGCTGGGCATCGCTGCCGGCTGTTGGTGTCCTCTGTGGGCACTGCGGGGTCTGTCCCAGGCTGCTCACACCTTGCCCATGGCCGGCGCCGCACCACCTCCCTGTGACCACCCTACAGCCAGCTTTATGGTCAATAAACACGTCTGAGAAATACTTTGCCACCGCGTGACATCAAAGGACGGGCGGTGTGTCAGCATCTTGCTCAGTACTGTCCGAGGGGTGCTTCAAAGGCACAGAAACCCATTCATGCCACGAGCTGCTGAGGCCTTTCTCACTCCTCCGCCCATCCCACATTGCAGGGAGGAGCACGGAGCTGGGAGCTGGGATTTGGGAACCCGAAGCACACAGCTCAGGAGGCTCTGCCTGCAGTGTGTGAGGGCTGGCTGGAGCTCAGCGTGCACTGCTGGGTGCACAGCTGTCCTGAGCACACGTTTACATCACTAAACATTTCTCATCATTCATCTGCACTTTGCATTCGCACAGCACAGAGGAAGTGGACGTGTGCTGTTGGACTCAGTGATCCTGGATGCCATTCCTAGCCTTACCAATGCTACGACCTGCAGAGGACCTTCCACCTCCAGCCTCAAGGCACCCTCGTGGCTCTGGCTGGGAAATCTGCTTCCAGTACGGGCAGAAAAAGGTCTCACATAAAAAAGTTTGGTTTCCTCCAAATAACTTTAAGAAAGCGATGGTAAAAAATAATAAAAGTAATAGAAATAGCAAGAAGCTAGAGGAACAAGCAGGGGTTGCACAAAGCTCTCTGGGCCAGCACACCTTTTGTTGTTTGGGAGCAAAGAGCAGAATGGATGGAGCTTTAGAACACAACTGAAGGTTAAAGAATAACAAAAAATCTAATGACAAATGCTTCGCCGGAAAGGTGACTTGCTTAGATAAAGCCATACTGCAGACAGATTACATGCATTCATCAGTTCCAAAATCCATTGGAACGCATTTTTAACTCTCACCACACTTCCGGTTTGAAATAACACTTTGTTTCCAACTTTTGGTTAATTCATACAATAAAACATACAAAAAAAGCTCTCATTTGGAAAAGTATTCCCAGGCTCCTTAATATTAAACTTATTAATGCAGATAAAAAATGTTTTTGGACGATGACTTTCAATGCATTGAGATATTCATCTTGATTCATCATCAAAAGCACAATAGAGCAGCACTAATCCTGTCCAAGTGCTAGGAAGGAGGCTTAGCATTGCAGACAGCTGCAATAACAGAATAAAAATAAATAAAAATAACATAATAATGAAAGAAATCCAATTTATGTTCTAAGAGCAACATCAGGAGAAAAGAGCAGACAGGGGCAGCCGCCTCTGGTGCTATTTAACCGAGATGAGAAGCTAGGACAGGGCTGAGAGCATCTGGGGGTGGGGGCCAAGTTTGAGAACAAATGGACAGAGCTGCTGGGTGATGGGAGCACAGATATAGAGGGGTGGGGGGAAAGAGCTGCACTGCTGCCGGGTGACCAAAACAGGGCAGTGCGAGCAGCCTTAGCTCTGCTGTTTCCTGTGGTGGTGTTTGACTGCAGCCTTCTTTTTTCTGTAGAAAAAAAAATATTTTTAGTCATTTAAAGAAATTAAAATGAAAAAAATGTCGGATACACCCTACAAAATCTCTAAGGAGGTTGTGTAGATATCCTTAGCACTTGAAATTCCTGCTTCTTTCTGTAAGAAGATACAATTCGTCAGTGACTGCTCCAAAACAGAGGTATCTTCAAGCAGAAAATGGGGCAGTCCATAGCCCATGGCATTGAATTCCACCTTCTGAGATGAATGAAGCATTTGTGTGTATGACAATGATTTTCTTAAACAATATGTTGCAGTGATGGCTGCGGTCAGTGGAGTCTGGTTGCTCCACAACCTGGGGAAATGAGAAGCAGCGTAATCCCATTTTAACTGCTTATATGTGAATGTCAGAGAACTAACAACGTTAATGACACTGATTTGTCAGAATAACTTAAATCAGAACCGCTACTTCTGAAGGGCAAAAGCTACAAGAACATTTGCTTGTTTACAGAAAGCAAACTGAGGAAACTGGAACAAGAAAGCAAAGGGCAAAACTGTTAACAGAAGCACGCTAGAAGGAGCACGAGCCCAGCAGCTGCTTTGAGGACAGCACACGGTCACAGCACAGAGCTGTCTGACACCCCCAGGGTGACAAAGTGAGCTACTATTAGCCTGCTGTTCTGCTCTGTCCCAGAGGAGCCTGGAAAGCTGGGTGCTGCCCATTTTGGCCCAAATGGGGCTGCCCATGTCTGGCATCCAGTCCCCCATAAATCAGAGTGAGAAGTCCGCTGACAGCTCTGCTCTGGTCACACAACACGTCCCATAACACACGGGAGGTGACAATGGATGGGGCACAGAACTGAAGTTCAGATCCCACAGACTCCCACCAGATCAGTGTGGGCATGGAGCTGCATTGGGAGCTTCCAATCTGAATGCTAAGGCTTTAATGAAATTTCCCAGAGAAAAATTAGCTGCCTCACCACTACTTACAGTAATAAGACTGGTTCTGAAAAACTACGCAGAAATCAGTTGATGACTCTTTTTCTCTTTTAATTAAATCTTTAAGGCTGAAAAAAGGATATAATAATTAATCTTGAATGTAGCCAAGGAAAACATCAGAGGATTAAGGGATGCAGACAATAGGAATTTGATCAGCCTTGGTAACGATCTCTGCACAGGGTCCTGCTGGCACTGAGAGCTGCAGCACGATGGAGAAGCCACTCTGCATGCCACATCCCAAGCTCTAAAACTTGTGAGGGAGGCAGGGCAGGTTTCTCAAAGGAAAGTACACAAACAGAATCGTGCTTCTCCCTCTTCCCAGAGGAAACATGGGTACATGAGGTGTAGATTTGCTCAGAGCTACAGCAGGACGTATTATTGGGTACGACAGAGTGCAGACCCCCCGGCCCTGGCCCAGGCTGGTGGGGATGCCCTGCACATCCCTCCTGACATGGAAGAGGTGGATCTGGAGCACACAGAGAAGGAGGTGCTCCCTGCCCTGCTACAGACCTGAGTCTGTGTCCTTCCCTGAGAAGGAGGAGAGAGGGAAGGAAAATCAGCCTGGGACCAAGGACTGGGCATGTCGGCATTACTAAATGCTCCCTTGTATGGTTTCACTTTAGTTTTGCCTCATTCTGTTCAAATCAGTGAATGGTAGACAGATTTTGGATAATCGACATTCACGAAACTCCACTGGATTCAGAGACACTCATTTCAAAGACAAGAAACAGTCAGGTCCCCGAGCTTCTAAATGCAAAAAAATTAAAATGCAGTATGAGCAATATTACTGACCAGATTCATTCACCTCTGTCAAACTAAGGGACATAACCTGAGCTGCTGTTCACCTGCAAGGACATTGATTCAGAGAGCAAAGCAGCAAAAACCCTGCTGGAATTTACAGCAGAGATTTTGTGTGAGACAGAGCAGAAGCATCACAACATGTTACAAAAACCCATTCCCTTATTGCTGCTTATCCATGAAGACAGCTGCAGGGAGGGCAAACAAAGACACACAGGCACCAACCATGGACCTGCCCACTTGTGGATTTCTCAAACTGGTGCACACAGTGTAACGGATTAAACGGAAAACCCCAAAGCAATGTCATTATGGTCGAGACCTGGTCTACACACGAAGGACCCCTCCAGTATTTGCTATTCTAGCAATCAGAAAGGGATTACACAGCTCAGAATGGGACTGCTGAGGAAAAGCAGGGCTGATTTTCTTGGGGTTACAATGGGAAACTGGTCTGCAGAGAGTATGGCAGCTTTCTAGTGACAGCCCTGAGCTTCTGTGCCTGCTGGGGAACAAGCGTCATTGTTGCAAAGTATGAAAGTAGTTATTTGTATTTCAAAACGTCGTGGTCTTGTAACACTGAGGCAGCGGTGCCGGCTGGTGCGTGCCTGCCTGCACATCAGCCATCTGCAGGCTGCTGGGGCAGTGCCAGGCTTGGGGAATATTTCTCCCAAATACTGGGAGAAAAAGAACCCATAAAAATACTTCCAAGGTAACAGCATCATCCTTACAATGATATCATCATAGAATCATGGAATGGCCTGGGTTGAAAAGGACCACAGTGCTCATCCAGTTCCAACTCCCTGCTGTGTGCAGGTCACCAACCAGCAGCCCAGGCTGCCCAGAGCCACATCCAGCCTGGCCTTGAATGCCTGCAGGGATGGGGCATCCACAGCCTCCTTGGGCAACCTGTGAACAGTGCCTCACCACCCTCTGGCTGAAAAACTTTCTCCTCATATCCAACCTAAACCTCTCAGTTTAAAATCAGCAAGGAGAGTTTTTCTTTCTGGGGAAGGAATGCAAACCAGTCATTCTCTGCTGGCTCTGTTCTGCTCTGACAGCTGCAGGTGAGCGGTGCTCCAAGGGGCTGAGCTGGGGTGTGCACAGCTGGGACAGCAGCCAGCATGGCAGGACATGGACCTTGTGGTCCTGGGAACGAATGGGCAGAAAGCACTTCTTGTGACAGAGGCAAGTCACTTGGGTAGATTTCCTTTTTTTTCCAGCAAGTTCTGTAGCAGGGCATCATTAAGATATAGCAGTAATAAGGCCTTCGTATTTTTGATGCGAGGAGAATATAGTATGTTTATGATTCCTGATATGTTTGATATTGAAAATAGCATTAATAATGCATCATACACTGCCTCCAGCAAGGGCTCATCATTCTTTTGCCTCCTGACTTGCAATTCAAACATCAAGGCTAATTGGAAAACATGTTTTCTATGTAACATTTTCCGAAATCAAGGTTTCACCACAACTTAAAATAAATGAGTAAATTGCAACCCAGAGTATCACAGAATCACAGAATGGCCAGGGTTGGAAGGGACCTCAAGGATGATGAAGCTCCAACCCCCCACCACATGCAGGGCCACCAACCTCCTCATTTCATAGCAGCCCAGTCTGCCCAGGGCCCCATCCAACCTGGCCTTGAACACCTCCAGGGATGGACGGGGCATCCACAGCCTCTCTGGGCAGCTGTTCCAGCACTCACCACTCTCATAGGAAAGAACTTCCCCCTGACATCCAACCTCAATCTTCTTCTCTCCTTCAACTTCAAACCCTATTTGTACCAATATTTTAAGCAAAACACTCTCCTTACAAACTTTTGCACCCTGCCTATAGGCTCTCATGATAAAGAGGCTCTTTTGCTCTTTTAATCTCTTCTCAGCTTGGAGCAGCCCCCACAGCTGACATGGGATGCCAACTACCAGCTCACACAGCCCAACACTGTAATCCAGGCTCTCATTTTCTGGACTCTGCAAC